AATGTAAGTATGTTTTATTTGGCACTTTTTAAGAAAACGTCGAGTTTAAGTTTAAACACAGCGGAATAAATCTAATTTTATTTCGCGTTTTTAACTTGATCGGAAGTGACTCTGTCACCGCCGCAGCTACCGGATAAAAGCGTTTCCTCTCAGCTGCTGCTGTTTATCCCGATGAGCCGCGCAGGTCGACATGGATTGGCGCCTGTTGGTTTGTTTGATTTTGCTGCCGCATTTGAGAGTTTTGAGAGGTATTTTTTTCTTTGACTATCCAAGGGTAGACATTTTCAGTTTCACAAAAATAGGCAAACCTGTTTCTACGGGGTGGATTTTAGGGTTCGCTATATGTCAGGGTTTTGCTAGTGTGCGGCAGATGGATGTTCAGGGTTACGAGCTATATTTCAAATAATCTGTGCTTCATGGAGTTGGCCTAATCAGAATGATTGTAACGACGAGACAAGTTAGTATGAAACTAGCAACATTAGAGAGTTTCAGGACGTTTAAAATAAGCGAAAGTCCCCGTTCATTGGATCCTATTTAGCACTGAAGCACTTATTGAGATCAAATCATGCAAAAGTACGCAGAGAATCATGAGCTGATATGTACTTCATTTGATATTCATTTAACTGTATGAAAGTCGTCTTTCTCATTAGAAATTTTAAATAGAATATTAAACATCTACTTCTGACTGCTTTGCATCTTTTCCCACTCACATGTCATATGATTGTACAACTTTTTATTAATACAATTACAACCAATGAGGAAAACTAAGTTATTGTTTTAATTTGTCTGACCACATTTATTTCTTGTTCATACTCTTCACATTTTGTAGGACAAATCTCGGAGTGCAGTCATGACCAGTGGCAGTGTGACGATGGAGGGTGTATCCCTGCTGTGTGGAGATGTGATGGAGATGGAGATTGTCTGGATGGTTCAGATGAAGTGGACTGCACTGGTGGGCATAATTTTACACATTACAGTATCATCTATTTTTGTTTTCCTGTAGTTTGAGACTCTTTAAGTGATGTTGAACAAAACAGCTTTTAAATGAAGCACAAAAGGCAAAGGACTCTTTTTTTCCTCCCCTGAGCTTCAAGTATAGGTTGTTGGTTCAGGGGTAAATAAATGCAACCTTTTAATATTTTTGTTTTCTTTCCTTCAGGACTCCGAGGCTCTGATTGTCCGCCAGGTCATTTTCCTTGTGTGGACTCTGTTGGCTGTGTTAAAGCGTCGGCCCGCTGCGATGGACAAAAACAGTGTCCCACTGGCTCCGATGAGGAGAACTGTCCAGTCACAGAGGGCTGCCTGGACTCTGACTGGACATGTCAAAATCACATCTGCATCCCTAAAGAGCTCAGGTGCAATGGAATAGATGACTGCATTGACAACTCTGATGAAAAGGACTGTGGTGAGAAAAATGCTCTAACAAGAAACTAAATGTCATTCTGTGTATTTGTGACACTTTCTAAACAAAACTACCAAAAGTCACATTTTCCAATACAGATCCAGCTATACTGTAACAATTTTTTAAATATTTTGGATTTTCATCATCCACTAAGACATATTTATAGACTCATTTGTTCTGCAAAATATATATATATATATATATTAATTAAAGTTAAATGGGGACATAATCATGTTAAATGTACCGAAATACAAATCAAGACTATCAGCAGAGGTAAATCCAGATGACCAGAGGTAAAATGGCAGATTTTTGGATGGAATCAAAAACGTTTGAGTTCAAGTGTGAATACACCTTTTCATGCACTGATGCATCATGCAACTAAAAATGAACATTTAAATCTTTATCCTGATTCTTAAAAAGGTTAATGTATTTTTTTCTCTCCCAGATTTGTGCAGTGAGGGCAGCATACGGTGTCCTGAGGGGACATGTCTATCTGCTGACGAGCAGTGTGATGGCACGTTTCACTGTTCTGATGAAAGCGATGAGCCCATAACCTGCGGTACGCTTGATGCAACTGATTATCACAAAAAACACTAATATACAATGTTTTTTTGTCTATTAAGTCGTCTTCTGTGACGCTGATGCTTAAAATTCCGCCTCCTGCAGGGCGTGTCTGCCTTATGGACAATGGTGGATGTAGCCATGTGTGCACTGACGAACCCAGGGGAGTTCTGTGTTCTTGTCCTGCTGGATATAAGCTGTCTCCTAATGGAACAGACTGTGAAGGTGTGTGGGACAAGATAATTACAGTTTACCTTCAATACTAGGTTTTATAGCAGAAACCAAAATAATGCTAAATGAAAGAAAGAAGAAAGGTTTTGAAGTACGAGGTATCCGTGTCCTTCTAAAGGAGCAGATGATTCCTTCATCCCTGATCCTGTTTTCATGCAACTCCAGGAGTAATTGATATCTGCGACTTTGTAATTTTCCAGATACATTTTTTAAATGCATGCTGGGACATGTTTACTCTTCATTTCTTACAGATTTGGATGAATGTGCTCCACCTTTCGACCCCTGTGCTCATCACTGCAGTAACACCATCGGTTCTTACTATTGCTACTGCAGAAAGGGCTTCAAACTAAATGAAAACTCAACATGTGTGGCTTCAGGTAAAGTGAAAGTGTTTTTCCTGTTTATAAAATTGACGCTACATTCTGTCAATATAATGTTCCACCAATTTGTTTGGTACCCACTTGAGTCAAGGACTTTGCTAGGACAAAGCTAATGGGTGTAAGGCCTTTGTTATGCTGTCAGAATCCATTCTGGATTTGGTTTCGTCCTCTCAAACGATCAACACCAACATCAAAGTGCACTTATGATGTCTGATTAATGATATGCTAATAGGTGACTTTGATGTAGGTAAGGTGGTGACAAAAGCTATAAACTCTGTTTGATCAAGAACAAAGAGCACTTAGGTAATCAAAGACTTTTCCTGTAGATGCAAATTTATCAAGTGAGGCCTTGATGATTAAATGAAATGCATGAATTATTGGATAAGCGTCACTAACAGTATGAATCTGCATTTACAGCTAATCCTGTCCGATTGCTGCTGGTTGGGGGGACAGCTTTAGGATTACTGAATGTGAAATCTCAACAGTTTGAAATCATTCAGAGTTCAACATTTGACTCTGTGGCCTTGGCATTTGATGTTGCGCGGGGGTGGTACTACTGGGCTGACAGCCGTGGCAACATTTACAAAAGTGATGGACAGCAAAGCTGGACAGCCTATACTGGTTGGTTTACTCTTTAATTCAAGAACGTATCCTCACATTAAATTGTTTCTTGCATAGTTTTTTTTTTGTAGTTATATTCTACCTGCCAACCATTAATTTATTTGTTTATTGTTTTTAAACAGGAGAGCCTGGTATCAAAGGTTTAGCTTGTGACTGGCTCAGTGGGAATCTGTTCTGGACCAATGAGAAGACAGAGTCCATCTACCTGCAGAGTTCTGATGGAAAAAGTTACACTGCTCTGCTCAGCAAAAACATCAGGCCCTCAGAGCTGGTCGTTATGCCTGTAGAAAGGTCTGTATGACTTATCTGCTACATGTGACTGAATTTTAAAGTGATCAAATTTGATATTTCATTCGGGCATAATGGGGGATAAAGGTCAACATTTTAGGGTATGTCAAATACAGGAGATGCAGTTACTATTTTACAGGTTGATGAAAATCGATGATGTGCTGCTTATTCATATTCGCTGCTTTCTGCCTCCCAGCTTGATGTTCTGGATCAATACGGGTCCAGGTGACAGAGGAACAATAGAAAAGTCTTGGATGGATGCCTCAGAAAGAAGCTCTCTGGCAGTCATCACTGCTCAGTCTGCCCACAGCCTCACTGCTGATGTAGCTGCCAGACGGCTGTACTGGATCAGTGACTTTAAGAGGGTGAGATTTGGATCAACAGTTCATCACTCACGGGGCCTGTTGCATAGAAACCATTTTTATTTGCTGCTTTATAGTTCGGTCACTCCTGGGCATGTATTGATTTTGTTTATTATAAATGAATGCAAATGCCACCCCTGTGGGATACACTTGAAATCAAAAAGCATTTACTTTACGCCCTTTAAAGTTAATAATAATCAAAAAAAGTTTGTCTGTGTGCCCTACTTTTTTTTCTTCTTTTTTTTCACCACATGCCACTGTTCTTTTTACCCCAACAAAGTCTTTTTATCCGGAAGCTCTCAGATACGTTTTTGACTGTATTGCACATGTGAGATGGTAGGAGAATTTGAAAAGCGTTAACTTGGATTTTGTGAAGTAGTTCATAGTTTTTACAGGATTCAAAAGCAAGTGCAGCCCATCATTCAGTAGCTTTTAAACCTTGTCAGCAATACATTTGTTTGATTTTTAGTCTCACATCATTGTGAAAGAATTCTGGCTCACTCTTCTTTACAGCATTGCTTTAATTCATTAAGGTTGAACCCTAACCCTAACCCAGCTCTCTTAAGGCCCCAGCACAGAATTTCAATCTAATTGAGGTCTAGACTTTGACTGGACTGTTGCAGCAATTTTTGTCTTTTTCAGCCGCCCTGTTGTAGATTTGCTGCTGTGTTTGGGATCATAGTCCTGTTACTTGGCCCATGCCTTAGCCATCCGACAAGTGGCCTCGCGTTTGACTGTAGAATATTTTGATATCCAAAGGTTTTATAGTTGACTCAACCACTGCAAGTCCCGTGGCTGCAAAACAAACCCAAACCACCCCTCCACCGCTATGTTTGACAGTTGCTATGTGGTGTTTGTGGTGGTCCTAACCATAATGTTCAGCCATTGTAGCCAAATTTCTCCACTGTGGTCTCATCTGTCTGAAGGACATTGTTCCAGAGGTCTTGTGATTTGATTTGCATCTTTGCAAATCTGTCATGCTGAAATGACACCATGTTCTTTTTTAGAAAGAAATGGCTTTCTGCTTAAAACTTTGCAAGCCATAAGAATACATTTAATTTTCCACAAGTCACTACAGAGTTGTGAGGAACAAATGCTCACGTGATTGTATTTCACTCGGCAGATGTTTTACCTCTCCATCACAGATATGTCATATTCTCACATGTTTCCTTTCTATACATCACAACAATCTCTTCTATGTAACCTGACGAGGGTGAGGGAGTCCTCATAGTTTGAGCTCTTTGCTGTTCTTAATAAAATAAAGTTGGCTAAAATACTCACACTCGGTCATGATGACTTTTTTGTCTCCCCGTTCAGTCCATAGAGACTGTGAAGGTGGATGGGAGTGGCCGTTACTCCTACACAGGACTGTTCAGCAGGAGAGCACCGCAGAGCCTTGCTGTGTTTGAAAGTTCGTTTTATTGGGTTGATAACAAAGGACTCTGGCAGGCTCCGCAGACTCAACTGAGCCAGAGAAAATTTATATGGGAACCCACACTGCCAGTATTAGCTGTTTACCATGAGCTACAACAGCCTCAAGGTAAATCTTATGGTATTCTCAAACATGGTCGTTGATCAGTTTTCCTATCTGAAGATCTGTTTTGAAATTTATATGCAATTTAAGCTGTTTTAAATTGGATATAAAACAAGGTTGAAGTTGTTAAATGTATTTAAAAGTTGTTAATGGAGCTTTCTTGGTCTTCATAGTGGATTGTGTTGCACCTAATAGTCCTCTCATTGTCTTCATCAGGTTATTCTGCATGTGCAAAAACGCCCTGTCACCTCTGCCAGCTAACTAAAAGCAACCCTCTTGGATTCACCTGCTCTTGTCCAAACCTCAAATTGCTGTTGCTGGATGGGACATGTGAAAGTAGGTTTCCTAAAACTTTCTTTTCACCTTTGTTAGTGTAAAAAAAGACATCACTTTTAATTCTGGTCCAAACTTATTAAATCAGTTGTGGTTAAATAAAAATGCATTTATACTTTACAAGAAAACACAAAAAATGATCTGTAATATTATTCACTGTCACAGATCCACGGTTTCTCTATGCTACAAATACGGAAATCATCTTGTTGGAGTTGGAAGAAAAAGGGTTCATTGAAAGCCAGCTTTTCACCACCAATGAGGGGATCCTCTCTTTTGAGATTGACTGGGACAGAGACTGGCTTTACTGGGCAAACAAAACTGGCCACCTTCAACGCATCAGTGTAACAGCGGTCACCGCTGAGCTGGTTCCAACACCTTTGCCAGGTTAGCACGGATTTGTTCACATATGTTGCTTATTATTGATGTGCAGTGACAAAAATCTTATTAAGAGTGGTGGTTCAATAGATTTAAAAAAAAAAATGTTAAGACTTAATTAGTTTCTACCTTAAATGGCTGTCAACATACCTTCTTTCATGCTATTTCTATTTCTTTTTAGTTTGTCTGATAAATGTGGACCAGAGGAGCGGAAGCCTTTATTGGGTGTCATGTCATCGAAACACCATCGGAACAATCGCAGCTGACAGCTACTACCCAAAGCAGCTTTACTACACGACAAAGGAGATTAAAAACTTGTATCTGGACTGGCTGCGGGGTACCATCATCTGGCTAGAAGAAGATCGAATTCTTAGCATGAGCATGTTGGGAGGTGTTGCTAAAGAGCTGCTGCACATAGCTGGAGGAGTGAGTGGGGGCATCGCTTTTGACCTCAGGGCTAATAGCCTGCTGTGGAACTCAAAAATAGCAGGTTAGTTTTAGCGTTGGATTGGTGTGTGGAAGCTTGTTATGATCCCTGGGGATAATAAATACATTTTTGGGGGGTTAGTTATATCAAAATTTCAGCTTACGAAAATAACTTAAAATTTCCAAACCACACTCATTCAGATTTGTTTTGCATACTTGCAAATCTCAAGATTTGCAAACCACATAAAAAAAAAAAATGATGAACTTCACCTCACAGACTTTAATGTTGCCTTTAATTAAGACTTTTTTACGACAGGCTTAACAACATTAAGTTTGCTGCGAGAGAGAAGCCACCAAGCTGGAAGAAGATGGAAGATTTCGGGCTCAGTTGTAGCTGCCCTCGAGCCTTTTCTCTTGTCAGTTTCAGACAACGTAATGACTCTGTGGGATCAGCGTGATGGGAGCCCCATTCAAGATGCAGCTGTGACGGGTCATGTGATCAGAGTAATCACTGCTCTCATAGACATTCAGACAGTTCAGAGTAAGATCATCTGTCACAGCAGAAACAGATTTATATAGCACTTTGACGTTTTTCTGGTATGCATGACCATCTCATTAATTCCATTGCATTGTCTTTACATTCTCAAGCCTGCAGGAAACCATCGTTTTTGTGCAGACACTCATCAGTCTGCCTCTCGGAAGCTCAGCTGTGTGATGGGAAAAAGGACTGCCCGGAAGGAGATGACGAGTTTTGTCCTGGGGCTTGTCTGTCTATAGGTAAATGCCCAAGCTGACATTCTTGTTATAACTGGCGATGCAGCTCAAAAACATATTGAGACTTACTGATAGGTTTTTCTATCTCAGAGGAGTTCAAATGCCAGGACCGGAGCAGTTGCATTTCCAGACATCTTGTGTGTGATGGTCGGTCTGATTGTACCGATGGCTCGGATGAGGCTGATTGTCCAACTGCAGCTCCTCGTACAAGTCGGTCAAATGTGATGAAATGTCGCATAGGCTCAAAGCCATGTGAAGATGGCAAAGACTGTGTTTTATATAGTCACGTGTGTGATGGAGAGGACGACTGTGCGGATGGATCAGATGAACTGGGCTGCGGTGAGTTTCCTAAAACAAAATCAACCGTTTTTTGATTACCGATGTGATGTTTTGGTGTACGTTTAGTTTTTGGCTTTGTAATGCATTTTATTATTTCGTTAGTATTCTTGTCACTGTGTTTAACGTATGACTCCTTATTTGTCTTTTAAAGATGCCCTGCAACAGAACATGACTACCACAAGAACTAATATGGACCAATCAAACAAAACTCCAGGTTCTACCACTCATTCTCCTCGAACTCTCCTGGCCTGCACCAGTCCCTCTGTCCTCTGTCCTTCTTCTGCTTACCTCTGCATATCTCCAGACCAGTTCTGCAATGGACATAGTGACTGCCCTGACGGCTTTGATGAGAAGAACTGCGTAAAAAGTTGCCCCTCAAAAAGTAAGCACCAAATCAGTATTTCATTTTCTCAGTTTGAAAATATTTAGCATTTTATGTCTTCAAAAGTTTGACACTGTATGTCCTGTTCAATAATTTTATTCCAGATGACTTTCTCTGCAAAGATCATCGCAGCTGCGTATCTAAAAGCCTGGTTTGTGACGGTGAATTTCATTGCTACGACGGCTCTGATGAGGTCAACTGTTCGAGTGCAGCCACAGCTGCTCCTGGGAGAAACATTCTGAAATGCCGTTTGGGGTTCACAGTCTGCAAAGATGGGAATCAGTGTGTCCTCAATATCAGCGTCTGTGATGGGGAGAAAGACTGTCAAGATGGATCAGATGAAGAACGATGCAGTCAGTATTTATGCCAAGTTTCTTTTCAAGTTTTATATATTGACGTTAAAATAATTTTAAATTTCCGCTTCTTGGTGTCATTTTTCTAGATGTTGCACAGAGAGATTCTACAATGCAAATAGAGAGACGGCCCTCAAATGATTCTCCTGTACTCCTCACACCGTCCATTAAACCTCACTACAGGCTGCCTTGCAGCAGTCCTTTAATTCTGTGTCCAGATTCCTCTTTGTGCATTAAACCAGCACAGATATGTGATGGAAGAAAAGACTGCCATGATGGATCTGATGAGAACTGTGTGAAAGGGTGTCCTTTTGAGGACTTTCTCTGCAA